CTTATTTTTACAACAAAGCCACAAAAACCCTGTTTGCTTTGTGAGGTACTACCAAGATGGGATGTTCAGACGGTTTGTGCAAACAATTTGCATCTTGCATCGTCCTGTTTCGAAAGAGCATATGCATACACTACCAGTCAAAAGTTTTTGAACAGTATGGTTTTTAATGCTTTTTAAAGAAGTCTCTTCTGCTTACCAAGCCTAAAATGTTAAGCAGCACCACTGTTTTCAACATTGATAATAATAAGAACTGTTTTTTAAGCATAAAATCAGCAATGATTTCTGAAGGATTATGTAACACTGAAGACTGGAGTAATGATACCAAAATTTAGCTTTGATCACAAGAATAAATTGCTTTGTGAGGTACTAATAGCAGTTATTTTAAATAGTAAAAATATTTCACATTACTGCTTTTGCTGTATTTTGGATCAAATAAATGCAGGCTTGGTGAGCAAAAGAGAATTCTTTAAAAAACATTAAAAATCTTAATGTTCAAAAACTTTTGACTGGTAGTTTATGTGGCGGTTATTTTACAAGAAATTGACCTTATGGTGTGGTCACATAAGCAAAATTTTTAGTAAAATTTTGTGAAAAAGTCTGTTGTCAGTAGTGTAGCAATGTAAAAACTTTCGAATCAAGCAGCTTTCTCTTGGTTAATGCATCTGTGAAATCTACATGAGGGACATTTTTGCACTCATGCGAAACTCCCGATTGTGTGGGATATTATTGAAATGACTGATTTTCGATCACAAAATTTTGTAAGCAAACTCGGTTAATGTGACCGCAACTTAAGAAAGCCTAATGATGTTAAAGATTCACTTACTTTATTTATCATTTCACCCACTGTATCTTGTCTAAATCTCGAGCAGACCCTGTTGCCTGCAGCTAGTCTCCTGCAGCTCAACGGAGTGAGAGATGCCTGCTGCAAATTCCTTCTCAGCCAGCTGGACCCCTCAAACTGCCTGGGCATCCGTGGCTTTGCAGACACTCACTCCTGCAGCGACCTTCTCAAGTCGGCCCATAAGTATGTCCTGCAGCACTTTGTAGAGGTATCGAAGACTGAGGAGTTTATGCTGCTACCTCTCAAACAGGTGAGCCATCTGCTTTAGGACAGTAATGTAGTTAAATGCATAGTTCACACGAAAATCATTGTCATCATTTTCAGTGTTATTATATCTTCACTGCTTAAATACTATGAAATATGTTGCGTGCCTTATTCTATGTAAGAAGCCACATCATCTCACAGAAGGATTTATTTCAAACACTCGACTGACGTTATGAAGTGTGTATGATGTTATTAAATGTGGTATTTTCACATGCTTTCAGATGGAGCAGCATTTACTTCACAGAGCCGTAGTTCACTGAGAAGCTATGCAAACAGCTGTCATTATCGTAAACGATATCTTCGATTTCATAATGGCGCAATAAAATCGTCAGCGATTTTTATTTTTTAGCGTAACTTGTCAGTGAACTACGGCTATGTGTAGTAAATTCTGCTCCATCTGAAAGCATGTGATGATGATTTCCTGCTGATTACAGAACCGGCGTTACTATCAAAATGCGCATGACAATCGCATTCGATTAATCGTGCAGCCCTAGTATTACAGTATCATAATGAAATATTAGCCTTTTACATATTGCTCAAAAAAAAATTTTATTCAGTCAGCATACACAGGCAGTGGCAGCTTGTGGGTTTTAAAATAGAGGAGGCACTTTATTGGTCTGGGGATCCCTGCCAATTATTATTATTATTTGCTTAACCACTTTAAAATGACTTTTTGGTTGCTTTTAGTTAGAACACTTAAAGAAAACGACACGCATACAGCAAGATAATATAACTTCACTTACCTGGCCTATCATTTGAAGCAAACATCCATCCCTTCTTAAAAGGCTGTGTTAAAAGAGAGCTGCCTGTTGCGCCATTTAATTAAGCTGACTGCTGTAGCCTATATCCAGCTTAGGCGTGTTCTCCCTTTATTTTTAATTTGTATATATACTGTTTGAATGACAGCTTGGTAAATCTGTTGGCGATCAAATACTCAATATCGCTACTCATCATAAGTACTTGGTACATTATCAGCACAGCGGGAGACGTTCAAACTATTATCACGTAATTTACGTCTCTATGATGATTGGTTTATATACCAGAAGGGAGGCTAGCCTCCAATTCAAGGTTTATTTTCTCAACACTCCTCAGTGCTGAAAGTGAACACTCGATGGTGATTGGCTAATTTTTTTTACCAACAGAGACACGAGAGCTCAGCTCTCCCTCGGCCTCCCCCTACCCTTCTCTATCATTAGCGGTTTAATTACATCAGCAGATTCGGCACATTCGCGATAGAAAAGTAGCTCTTTCCAACTTCATTAACATGTTATGGTATTACAGCTGTGAAATTACAAACAAAAAATGCACATTCTGAGACATGAACTGTAATGAATTGTATTAACATTAAATCGTCCTCCTCCCATTTTCACCTCAACATTTTGGGGAAGCTGTGCCTCCCCCGACGAGCCGCCACTGTACACAGGAACATGGCTGTGAAAGCAGAGAGATGTTTTTGGCCCCAGATAATATAGATATAGCATCTATCAGCAGGAGCTAACTGGACAATGCTAATCAGCCAAACCTTGACCTCTTCTTCGACTCGCAAAAGCTAAAATGTCTGAATTGCCCCACGGTGACACTGATATAAGTGCTCTCTGCGTCAGCACCTTCAATACAGTGTCAATCATCCGCTCAAATACACGGCGAAAACAGCACGTCAGTGAGAAGCTGAGACAGCGAATCAGCAGAAAGCAGCTCCTGCTCTCATACAACACTAATTTCATCAGCCCTAATCTGCTCTCTTCGCAGAAAAGTGGTATTAGTATCTCTGTGCTTTGAAAGGTTGCGTGATTCTATGAAATCCCCCTGCTGTTTAGACACTGATTGGAGCGAACCATTAGGAAGAGGTTGCTGATGACATAGACCACCATTCTCTCTCGCTCTCTGATTTTTTTTCTCACTCTTAACAGCTGTTGCAGGCTGGAGGTTCCCATTGGCCCCGTATTTAACTCCGAAGACCTGGGAAATGCTTGTAGCCATGTTAACTGTGGCTTCTGCCCCAAATAAACAAACAGTCTGTGACTATAGTGCTTTTGCAAGTGTAGACTAGATGATAGTGTAATGGTCTATCATAAAGTCTTATATCACAACACAAAAAAAAGAAAGCTAATGTGTGCAATTTTTGCATCACTAACAGCAGCAAATGAAATTGGAAAAACAGTGATAACTGTTTCCCAAACACTTTTATCAGCCTTTCCTCCCCCACCTACCCGTCTGCCATTGTTTATTCTAAACACTCGCTCAGCACTATTGGTTAACCCAGAAGCTGACATGTTAGCGTAAAGTAAACACAAGCAAACGCAGCAATGTTTTGAAAAGAAGTCTTACTATAACTAGGCTGTTTTTTTGCACTATATATATGTGTGCTGTCGCATCCAAAATAAACGTTTTTATTTATATATGTGTATACTGTGTATATTTATGTATCTATAAATACACACACATTTCCAATATTTCCATGTATATATTTATATTAATATAACTGATATTATATATAAATATTTTTATAAACATAACATATTTTTCTTAAATGTATACATGCGTGTGTGTATTTATATATAAATAATAAATATACACAGTACACACACATTATGTAAACAAAAACATTTATTTTGGATTAACTGTTTGACAGTGCTAATATATATATATATAACTAAATTATCATTATTTATTTTTTTACAAAAATGTATTTTTCTAATAAATGATAAAAGCTGTTATTTGGAACGTTTATTCATCAACGAATACTGAAAACATTTTCTTGTTTTCCACAAAAATATTAAGCAGCTCAACTGTTTTTAACATTAATAACAAGAAATGTTACTGTGCATTTTGAGCACCAATCAGCGTTTTTGAAGGATCGTGTGACACTGAAGACTGGAATAATGGCTGCTGATAATTTGCATTACAGGAGATTTTAAAAATCTTGCAGACCACAAAAAAGTGAATGGTAGTGTGTGTGTGTGTATATGTATTTACAAAATTTATATATTTTAAATTTATTTTTTATGATTACACAAACTTTCTTTTCATTTATGTGACTGTGCAATAACAAAGGTTCCAATGATTTTTTTTAAATATTTCAATTGTCTACTGAATAGAGAATTGGTGAAATTATACTGTATAGTCAGTGTTGATCAATGTAATATTGACTTTAAACAAGCTCTTTTTCAAACAGAGATCTGTTTTTTGACATTCTGTGCAGAACACGATGCGCTCGGACTCAAACTGAGCACATCTGTCCGATGTTTAAATGCTCGTCATTCAGATTAAAACAGCAATTTGTCTTTAAGTTATGCAAACACTTTAGTCCAACTGAAACCATACCACTCCTTTAGTTTTAAGATCGGTTATGAACCCTTTCTTGTGATTTCTGCAGGTGCTGGATCTGATTTCTAGTGATAACCTGAATGTCCCATCAGAGGAGGAGGTGTACAGGGCTGTGCTGAGCTGGGTCAAGCATGACATCGATGGGCGGAGGCAGCATGTGCCCCGGGTGGGTATGATTCCTCCTGTCAAACTGCGCTTTTAGCAACATCACAGTAAATCACAGGATTAATGCTTATAAAGGATTATGTCTCTGCAACTCGATACTCGTTTCTCTGTTCCCTTCCTTTGCTTTTTTTAATCCTTTTTACACACACGTCTTACCTCTCACTCTTTCCATCCATGTCTTCAGCTGATGAAGTGTGTGCGTCTGCCCCTGCTGACACGAGACTTCCTGATGAGTAATGTGGATACGGAGCTGCTGGTGCGTCACCACTCCGAGTGCAAAGACCTGCTGATCGAGGCACTGAAGTATCACTTGATGCCCGAGCAGAGGGGTGTTCTCAGTAACAGCCGCACCCGACCGCGCCGCTGCGAGGGAGCCAGTCCGGTGCTCTTTGCTGTAGGTCTGTAAATCAGGACAAGAGCACATAAAACACATGCACATATGTCAGTGGGTTGGTGGGTTGATTTAAATGCTAAATGTCTTTCAGGTGGGGGCAGTCTTTTTGCCATTCATGGAGACTGTGAGGCCTATGACACCAGGACAGACCGCTGGCACATGGTTGCATCCATGTCGACGCGGCGGGCACGAGTCGGAGTGGCTGCTATTGGAAACAAGCTCTACGCTGTGGGAGGGTACGCAGACCCAAAAGCCTAATTTTTGCCAATTAAATCAACTGTTTTTTTCCTTTTATAACGGCAAACTAAAGTGGTAGAGACCCTTGTATTGCGGACTTTTTAAGTTTTGAGGCATCAATGTGCGTGTCTCTCCTGCTTTTGCATAAAAATGGTCAAACTTGGCATTTACCTGGTTTTTTTCTTACGTGGCAGAAATGGGCTTCCATAGAAGTTGAACAGTCTTTAACTTGATACAGCATCTTTAAAATGCAGCACCCATAATGCACAATGCTGAAAAAAAACTGCAAGATGCAACACAGCAGCCAAGGCCACACATCCAGATTTGATTTATTACATTACAAAAGGAACAGAATGTTCAGAAAGCCACATTATTTTCTTAAGATTACCTTGCTGAAGCAATCAAGATGTTACCTAAGATTGGTTAGGAAATGTGTCAGCTGTTGACTAATGAATTTCTGTGAATGATGACGGTCTTGTCTTTACTTGCATAATAAAGACGCAATATATACAAAAACACATGTGAAAGATCTATTGTTCATCTTTGTCTCTCTTTTGCTTTTCCCAAACCAGGTATGATGGCACTTCTGATTTGGCTACTGTAGAGTCATATGACCCTGTAACTAATGCGTGGCAACCTGAGGTGTCTATGGGAACGAGGAGGAGCTGTTTAGGTGTGGCGGTCCTGCATGGGCTGCTGTATGCAGCAGGAGGGTACGATGGTGCTTCTTGTCTCAACAGGTATGCTATCTAGACAAACAAATGTGAAAAGTATAATAAAGTTATAAAAAGCATTTAATGTAAATCTAAAATGTCTGTGAAATTAAATATAATTTTATAATAAAAAGTATCTAAAATATATTTGTATATATTAAAAATAAAAAATGTTTTTTAAAATCTCTGATAAGACTCTCTGTTTGATTTTGTCTGCAGTGCGGAGAGGTATGACCCTCTGACCAGTACCTGGACTTCCATCGCTGCCATGAGCACCAGGAGGAGATACGTTAGAGTGGCCACATTAGGTAGAAATATGTAATACTAATGTACTAATAAATGTAAAGAGCAAATGTAAAAGCACTTCCTCTATATCTTAAGCAGTTTGAAATTGAACAGCAAACATGAACCCGTTTCTCCTATTTCTTCTATTAGATGGCAGTTTGTACGCGGTCGGTGGGTATGACAGCTCCTCACACTTAGCAACAGTAGAAAAGTACGACCCTCAGGTAGGTGACACATGTCTCTCTGACATGTTGTAAACATCTCCGGGGTGTGTTTTATGTTTTCTCTCCATGGTTAAATAAATTACGAAGGATGTTTTTTTATTTTTAGAGTAATGTCTGGACTGCCATTGCCAACATGCTGAGCAGGAGGAGCAGCGCAGGAGTTGCTGTATTGGAGGGCATGCTTTATGTTGCGGGGGGCAATGATGGTACCAGCTGCCTAAATTCAGTGGAACGATATAATCCGAAAACCAACACCTGGGAGGGAGTGGCCCCAATGAACATCCGCAGGTTTGACAGTGATCTTCAAGCGTTTGTTTAAAGGGATAGTTCACCCAAAAATTCTGTCATTAATTACTCACCCTCATGTAATTCCAAACCCATAAGACCATTCATCTTCGGAACACTAGATATTTTTGATGAAATCCTAGAGCTTTCTGACCTTGCATATACAGCAATGCAACTACCACGTTCAAGGCCCAGAAAGATACTAAGGACATCGTTAAAATAGTCCATGTGACATTAGTGGTTCAACGGTAATGTTATGAAACTACGAGAATTTGTGTGCAAAGAAAACAAAAATAATGACTTCAATTTCTTCTATTCTGTGTCACAGACATGTGTCAAGGTTCTGTTGTGAACAAGCTTAGAAGACTGACACAGAAGAGAAGAAATTGTTGAATTGAAAAGTATTCTCGTAGCTTCATAACGTTACGGTTGAACCACTGATGTCACATGGGCTATTTTAACGAAGTCCTTACTGCCTTAGGTGCGTTGTTGTCTGCAGGGTCAGAAAGCTCTTGAATTTCATCAAAAATACCTTCATTTGTGTTCCGAAGATGAACGAAGGTCTTAACAGGTTTGCAACGACATGAGGGTGAGTAATTAATGACAGAATTTAAATTTTTGAGTTAACCAACAAAATTGCAAAAAATCATTCCGTTCCTAATGGACCATCTCTTCTCTTGATCTTCAGGAGCACCCATGACCTGGTCGCTATGGATGGCTGGCTATATGCGGTTGGAGGCAATGACGGCAGCTCTAGTCTCAATTCCATAGAAAAGTACAACCCTCGTAGCAATAAATGGGTGGCGGCGTCGTGTATGTTCACGCGCCGTAGCAGCGTTGGAGTCGCCGTTCTGGAGCTCCTCAACTTTCCTCCTCCGTCCTCTCCCACTCTTTCCGTCTCCTCCACCAGTCTTTGACAAAGGGTAAAGACCCGGCTTAGCTCCAGCGGCCTGCCCTGTGTGGCCAAGAGGCGCAACTGCTCAGTTTGAGCATCAGACGAGGAGTGTTTCGTGGGCCACAGTGCCCTCCTTCTGCCTGGAGGAACACTGCAGCATTCTGCAGATCATGAGGGTAAAAAAAAAGGATTAAAAGAAAAAACACACACTTTAAGCCTCCACAACTCTCACCCTATAAACCCCAGTGCTTGAAAGTGCAAAATAATGTTGCTCTGCCATTTTGCGGTCACTTTGTGTATGATGTATATCTAAATGTATATTTATGTTTACGATTCTTTTTTGAAATATTAAGAAATAATATATTAAACAAAACAAAAAAGAATGAAAAACTTTAGGAATGTAGCTCTTGACAGGTTCCGCCACGCATGTTTACAGAAATTTTGTCCTGGCAGGAAATAATATTGTAGTGCTGCTGTGCCACACTAGGTGGTAGTAATGTGCAATGCTGCCCAGTCTCACCACAGATGCGCATGGACATTTAGAAGCAGAAAATTCACACAAAACGGTGGCTGGATTCTACACTACAGTACTCTACACCTGAGTGTGTCAGATCATGTTGACAACATAATATATGTTTCACTTATTTTCCTATTTATTTATTAAATGTAATATAAAAACATATGACACTATTTCAGAGATGTTTCAAAGACCACCTCTGACTTAAGAGGGGAAATATAGTTTTAACGTACTAATGGACATACATACTACGTACATATCATAGAAGCACTGGTGTTTGGTATGAAATGTGAGATTTAGGAAGAACAGGCATTTAGTGTTATATCTAACGGACATGTTTGGTTTGTTTTCTACAGTCATGTATTTCAAGCCTTACAAAAGTACAAACTTTACTAATATGACACATCTATACCACTAAGCAGGAGAAATGTCTTTTTAATAAAGACTATAGCCATACCTAAAACTAGCTGTGACATTGATTAAAGCTGCACTTTCTCATTTCTCATGTTTTCGAAAGGGTGAAAGGTGCTCAGAACCAATTCTGATTCAACGGGTAATCAGTAACACTGACACTTTAATATCAAGCCCTTCAATGTGAGTAACTCGGCTATTATAAGCTCCTATATGTTGTATGTCACATTTATTTGGATTTTGCCGCAAGTCTTTAGTTAGTAAACCATGTCAATGTGTATTGCATTTTCAAAACTTTGTTTATTTGCCAGGGCTGTCAGATTTGACAGCTTGATGGATGTAGATAGTATGTGTTGTGTTGTGATGTCATTGGTAACGGCCACTACCAATGCATATTACCTCAGATGGGTAGATGAATGGTGAGTAATTAGTTTATCTGATGAGAGCACAGATCACCCCACAACAACGGATAGTTCCCCCAAAATTCGTTCTTTATTAGGTAGAACACAAAGGAATATATTTAGAAGAATTGTCTGTACAATTTGAAGTAGATGGGAATAAAGACAGTTGTATGAGAAAAGAGCAGCTTGGACATTCTGCTAAATATCTTATTTTTTAAGAGAACAATAAGTTTTGAAATGACATAAGGCTGAGTAAATGATTTTCATTTTTGGGGAACTATACCTTTAAGTCAGTCCTGCTCTCTGCCATTTTACATCGGTTTTAAAATGTAGCATAGTATTATATGATTTCAAAACTTCTGAGAAGTTAGGATTTTGTTTCCTTTTTTTAAAGGAATTTGTTAATTCAGAGAAACTTGTTTAAGGGCAGTATAAGTTTGTGTCTAGGGAGATCAGAGTGCTGTGTATGTGTGTTTCTGTAGAGGTGAAGCATCCTGCACTTTGACCATACATACATAACGCCACAGGACCACAACCCCACAGAAAGGAATTACAGTATATGTATATAACCAAATATCCTGAAACTTTGTGCAATGTCAATGTAACTGTGGCTTTCTTTTTGGATTGTAATGTTGTCGAATGTGTTATTTATATTGTGCCGTTTATGTTTTGCTATATTTAAGAACAAACATGATTTTTTTGCACTACTGTCAAATGGAGCAATATACTGCTGTATAAAATCAAAACACTACTGTAAATGAAATAAAGCTGTTTTCAGGTGGAATTTGAGTTTAATCTCATTTGAACAATTATTTTGACACGTTAATAAAGAAATAGTTCACCCAAAAATAAAGATTGTTGCCCTCATGCCATTCCAAACCTGTATGACTGACTTTCTTCGGCAGAACACAAAGGATATTTTAAAGAATGTTGGTAACCAAAGAGTTTTTGTGCCTATTGACAAAAGAAAAACCAAAAACTTTCTCAAAATATCATCTTTCATGTTCCACAGGAGAAAACAAATAAATAATAATACAAGTTTGAAACAACAGTAAAGGATGATAAAGTTTTCATTTTTGAACAAACTAATATCAGAAGAAGGTGCTACTGGGTTCATGTATTAGCATTTGTGCAAGTTACATGTTAAAAAATTTAATGTAATGGCGCAAAGAGTTAAAAGAATACAATTCTGTCATTGTTTACTCACCCTCATGTGTTATAAAATCTGAATGACTTACTTCAGTAGAAAATAAAAGGATTCATTCCAGAATATTCAAGCTGCTTACAATGAAATTGAATGGTGACCAAAGCTGTCAAGCAAGATTTTTTATTTAAAACCTCAGTTTCTTCTCACAAATGGTTTCAGGAGTGCATGAGTTGTATGGAGTAGTTTAATGTTGCTTAATGTCTGGACTGGGCACCATCCACTTACTGTATGGAAAAGAGCAGCTTGGACATTCTACTAAACATCTCCTTTTTAGCTTAAACACCATAAAGACGACCAGAGGGTGAGTAAATAATGACAGAATTGAATTACTAGGTGATCTGTCCCTTTAATAAACAAAATGATATTTGGATTAAGTGCAAGACCCTCCAAAACTGAGCCCATTAGAGTTTTGCTTTCTGACTGATGTAAGCAAACAGCTGAGCACTCTCGCTTTACCCACCGTGACCTCAGCTTCACGGCACGAACACCTGTGCTGTACGCTTACGCACATGTACAGACACATTTGGGCAGTACATCTGATATGATGTACGTTAGCGTTTGCTTTAAGTAGAAGATTCATTTCAGGACTGCAGTATTGTCCTCAGTTATTTTAGCATCTGTGTTTGTGTATTCCCCTCGTAGCCGTCTGTTGTTAGGCAGCTCTGTTAATGAGGGTAGGGGGCTGGGGGCTCTGTTGCAAGCCACTGCGCATGTCCCGAGCCCTGGAGAGCACTGATATGAGGGACCTTGATGAGTTTACAGCCTGGAAAAGCAGCTGGAGGCATAGCTGTACAGCAGAGGAGACTCTAACACGGTCCCAGTGTCTGTCCAGCGGCTATATACCCAGTCACCGTAAACCAACCTCTGCTAGCTTTTTGAATCATATTAGATACACACTATATAAGAATTTGTACTTTTAAATTTTCTTTACCATTCAAAAGTTAGGGGTAAGGTTGTTGTTTTTTTCCCCTAAGAAATTAATACTTTTTTCAGCAAGGATGCATTAAATTGATGAATAAATGCTGTTTTCAGAGCTTTCTATTCATCAAAGAATCCTGAAAAAATGTATCATGGTTTCCACAAAAATGTTAAGTTGTTTTCAACACTGATAATGATAAGAAATTTTATTTGAGCAGCAAATCAGCATATTGGAATGATTTCTGAAAGATCATGTGACACTAAACTAAAGGCTGGAGTAATGGCTGTTGAAAATACAGCTTTGCCGTCAAAGCTATTTAAACACAGTTATTTTAAATTGTAATAGCATTACTGTTTTACTGTATTTTTGTGCAAATAAATGCATGGTGAGCTTAAGTATGATAATTATTACAGATTTTATATTCATTTATGATGTGAAATGTTATGTTTTTTTTTTAAAGACATCGCTTATTCTCACCCAGGTGTTTTTTTTATTTGATCAAAAATACAGCAAAACAGTAATATTGTAAAATTGTATTGAATTTTAAAACTTAAAAAAAAACCTTAAAAATCTTTTGCATTTTAATATTGTATTCCTGTGATGGCAGGCAGCCTTTACTCCAATCTTCAGTGTCACATGATCCTCCAGAAATCATTCTAATATGCCGATTTGCTGCTCAAGAAACATTTCTTATTATTATCAATTATGAAAACAGATGTGCTGCTTAATATTTTGTAGAAACCTTTATTTCTGAAATTTTCTGTAACATTATGAATGTCTTTACTGTCACCTTTGATTAATTTAATGTGTCCTTCCTGAATAAAAGTATTAATTTCTTTAAAAAAAAAAA